ATTTTATAATCAAGATTTGTACTTGAAACAAAGATAGCTATTTTAATAGATTTTCTGGTTAAATAACAGCCGTATGAATTGTTATTATTGTCATTATTATTTAAAATCCATCCCACGATAGAGAGGAAAAATAAATCCCAATTACAGGTCTCCTTGTTAAACAGATTGGATGGGCACACGTTCTTTTTGAAAGAAAATTGACATGTCAGGGACGGTAGCATTGGATAGAGAGGTAACAAAGAGGCCTTCAGCATTAGCTTTTACACGTTATTATCTTCCTCATGCTCTGTTCCTAAGACATGCATAAAATGAAATCTGCTGGATGCATAACACAACTGTCTGTCTGTATCCTTCTGAAAATTAGACATCACATAATCAAATTCCTAATTACTCAAGGTCTCAAATTGATCAAATTAGAATCACATGATCCAGACCTGGAGGAAAGAAAATGTTCAAATAGAGGCTGCCGGAACAGGATTCATTTGAACCTCATATATTTATCCTTTGTTCTCTTTGCTATTGTAGAGTACGCAAACATTGTTATAACTAAATCAAAAAGCTTTTACAGATATTCAAAGGTTGCTGAAACTAATCATCAGACATGCAAACTATGGCAGACAAATCCTTGAGCAACATAAAAAATTATTTACAAGTGGTTTTATCAACAAATTAATCCCCAGAATAGAGTTGCTAAAATGCCAAAACTTAAAGGTATAGAGGAGGATCTTTTATTTCCAGGTGGATCATCTAAATAAGCAGTCCTCCTAATTGTCAATCATTCTGGTGATATGTGTACAAAAGCCTCATTGCATTAGCTATCTTTTTCTGTGCATGCGCACTATCAGGCGGATATCTATGGTGAGCTACAGTTTCAAACAGTTATTGAATCTCACCTTTCTCACCGCGGTTCTTTGAAAATGGCAGAGGGTCTTAGAAGAAAAAGTGTCTACGAAGTGTACGAGAAGAAAAGAAAGGCCTCAGAAGAGGCAGATATATCCCAGAATGCTTTGAGCAGAGAGCTCTCCTGGCAAAGCATTGTGGGATTTGCTGTCAAAGCTGCCCGCTGTCTCCATAGGCTGTTGCTACCTGACAGCGGCGACTAATAACAAAGATGGCGCAGGAACCGCGCAGTGGAGAAGGAGTTACGTGACCAATAGGAGGCAAAAAGGAGTGATCATCTATTCGAGCGTTAAGTTAACCGAGTTCACTAAAAAGTCCACTATATATTCCCCACTTTATATAGCGACTGAGGGATTTAGGGGTTAGGGCTATGAGAACAGCAACTTTTAAACAGAGTGTGCACCAGGAGAAATGGGCCCCTGCATGCTCTTCCAAGCGTTTAATAGGCGTTCCCTCTCGCGGCAGGTACAGGGTTGTGCATGTGCTTTTTTTTTAAAGTGGAGAGGGCGGGTCTTTAAAAAAATTCATGAAAATCCTCCATAAGACCTTTAAATATAGGAATTGCTGGCTAGTCAGGTGTCTGTTTTAATAAATAAAGGCAATGGGCACATTTCCCTCCAGAGACTATGTACTAGAAAAATATCACTTTTTTAGCTTAAACCGATTTTTGTTTAAACCAGCATCACTTTTTATTCTAATACATTGGATGCACTGAAACTCCACTTTAATTTCTTTAATTATCTGAGACATTACTTGCGACAATTTAAGATATAACCAGAATTTATCATAAAAGGATTTTTTCATGTGAATCGATTTGTCAACAAGAGAACAAGAAAAACTGTTCTTTGCTTTGGTCCTTTTTATTCCAGGATAATGCATCAAATTGCTGTTTGGCAAATGTTTTGAGTATGCCTCTTTGAAAACAGAAATGCTAATTTATTTTATTTCTCTTGAATGGTGAAATAGTTACGTATGCCCTTAAAAATCATTTTTAATAATGTCCTTAACGCTGATAAACCAAAGTTGCCACAAAACAATTACAAATACATAACTGGTGGGAAAGTGGAGAGAAATACAGAGTTTTTTTTTGTTTGTTTTGTTTTTTTTTAGAAGACAGAGTGGACATAATTGATTTTACTCTTAAGAAAAAGCTTTTGTTTTCTTAAGCAAACAGCACAGTTTTGGATGCATGTCATTCTACACGGTGTTAAAACCTGCCAGCAAAATATGTTCACTTTTATTATTCTTAACTATTTTCTCATCCCTCGTGGGGTGGTATGTGTCATCCTCAAGCTCGGGTCCTCTACCAGAGGCCTGGGACTTTGAGGGTTCTGCGCAGTATCTTAGCTGTTCCTAGGACTGCAGTCTTCTTTTACCTGGAATCTGCTGTAGCCACTCTCCCAGTTTGGG